GAACTTTTATTAATGAAGTGCCTCGTTAAAAACCTTGCCGACCCAAAAACCCTCCTTAGGGAAAAAAGAGTCGGTCAAGGAAAAGAGTGCACCATTACATCAGCTGTAATACATCTTTAAGTGTGTCGAATTCCAAGTCCTAGGAATAGGTTCTCCTGATAGGTATTCTAGCTTGAAAGCTCCATTGTTTAGGTTGTGTCGGATGCGGAATGGTCCGTCCCAATTTGGGGCGAGCTTCCCCTGTCTCGGATCTTTTCTTGCTTCACCTGTGGCTCTCCAAACGAGATCTCCTTCTCAAAATTCTCTTGGCTTCACCCTGCTGTCGAATCTTCGCTTGTAGCATTGCTCAGAACAAATAAAATATTTAAAAAATGAAATAAAATATAAATAAATTGAAGAAAAATTGCATATATATATATATATATATAATCTTTATTGTAGTAATATAACGATGGGAAATATGTTTCACTCCTGTAAAAATCCATCTGAATTATAATTTTATCAAACTAAAAAAAATATATTGCTACATTTATCTTTATAAAAAAATTACAACATTTATTTATTATGTCATGTGCCGTGCCAACTATAGTGGGGGGTTTTCATTCTTCAAAACCTTTGGAAACTGAACTCGTGTGCACGTTTGTTTAATTGTTTGGTCCCGCGTGCGGCTCAAGTTATTAGGACTTTGAATGCAGTAAATGAGGACTGTTACAGTATCATGCCATTGCCAGTGTCATGTATTCGTGCTCCTTCTTAACACCTCTGATCCATAATTAAATAGTCTCCATCACAACCATTCTTAATATTGATTTTTTATAAATATTGATTGGCTACAAATATGTTATATTAAAATATAAGAATCTTGTTAATTAATTAGTGACTTGAAGATATTGGTTAAAAAAAATTAAGAACATTCTTGTTCCTACCGTAAGTCCTCCCAGTCAATGCTAAGGGGCAAGAGTGGTTTGGGCCTTCCTTCCTTCTAGCGCCAGTCTACTCTTATCGTTAAGGTCACCGCATCTGAGGTATTATCCGCTTTGGCACTCGTTAGTTCGTCACTGTTTTGTCCTTGAAAAGGCGTCTTGATGGGTTAAGGAGGAAAGATGTTTATAAACTACCCTTAACCTCGACTCCTAAGCGATATGGGACTCTTAGGCATACCAGAACAATTCTCATTAAAAAATATAGGCTAAATATTTACAAACTTTGTTATGATGAAGAAAATCTGATTACTGAAATTCATTTAAAACATATTTATGATAATATATATATATATATATATATATATATATTTTCGAGTGTGCATTTCAATTTTTTTTAAGAAAAAAACTTCTTTAAAATAAAGAAATAATATTCTACATATTTCTTGGTTTTACAAGAGAAAAGGGACTATATTAGAAGAGAAAAAAGAGAAAAAGTACTAAAAAAAATTATGCTAGATTCATTAGTGAAAAGATAATTCTTTTATTATTTAATTCATTAGTAGAGATTCTGAATTTTAAAAGTAAATTTATTTTGTTGTTTATAATTTTAAATTAATAACAAATAAAAAATATTTTAAATATTATATTAAAATATTTTAAAATTTTTCATTTCTCTTTCAAATTCCTAATGTTGGAAGAAGTTAAAATTGAGTTAAAAAGAATTTTTTTTCTCTTTACTTCTTTCCTAGAAATTAAAACAAGCAAGAAATTTATATAAAGAAAGAATTTCATTTTCTCGCCTTTAACTTCCATTCTCCTTCAATTAAACCCTATATAGTAGTATATAAGACTCTTTATAACATTTTTCAAAAATAAATAAATAAATCTTTATAAGATTAAATGATAAAAAATTTAAGTATTTTTTAAAAAAGAATTATTTTCGTAAGAAAAATCAAAATGAAAGAAAGGTTAAATTACGAAAAAAGAAAAAAAAAAAGATATATAGATATATGTAGGAATAGGGCTGAGCAGAAAATTTCGGTCCGACCGAATCCGAAGAGTCCGCAGGTCAGTTTTTTAATTCGGACGGTTTTTCGCAGTTTTTTCGATTTTTCGGGTTATTAAAGTCGGTTTATAATGGGTTTTGTCGGTCGGGTTCGGATTAAAAAATTTGAACCGTGGATATCCATACCCGACCGACCCTTTTAAAGGTAGCACAATGAGAGAAAACTTAAATATCCTAAACGCAGCAGGCGAAACCCTCTCTTCATGTATACAAAGGTCCTGAAACTGCAATGGTTCCATTGTGCCTCGCCCTTCTCCACTTCCCTTGGTACCAGTTTGGCTCCGGAGGCATCTCCTTCACTTCTTGATGATCCCCCTTTGAAACCAGCTTGCTGAAGCACGTCCAGGCACTTCTTGATGGCCCCAAAAAGCTTGTTAGAGCTGGTTTTCGCTGCCAAGTCCTCCTTCTTCACCAGCTTGAGGATCTCTAGATTGTGCTTGGCGATGGAGATTTGTGGTTGAAGTAGGTGTGTCCTCCAACTGAAGCGCCTTACGAAGGCAAGGCCGTTTTTTTTTTTTTTTTTTTTTTTTTTCCAAATCCGACTAACCCGATCTAATTAACCCGAGACCTGAAAATCCGAACCCGACGAACCCGAAATACTGTTCACGGTCGAAAATAGATTTTTCTTTTTTTGGATCGGTTTGGATTGGATTTAATACTTTCAACCCAAATCCGTCCGAACCCGACCCATGCTCAGGCCTATGTAGGAATTGATAGCAACAGGAAGTCAAGTCAAGAAGTGCGTTTTTCTTGGTACGAACAAGAGAGGTTTGTGAAAGCTCCAATCAAACATTTTCTCTCTCTCCATATCTCTCAAACCATTCCATTTCTTATGACTCTTTGCTTTTCACCGACTACACTCTCTCATTCCGCTATAGTCTATGCCTTAACACAACAAACAACAACAAAAGGTTTGAACTTTGAACTCTTTTTTTTCTTGTTTCATTTGTTCTCAATTTGCAATGCACATAGAGAGGTGTGAGTACCTATACATGCTGTTAATTTTTGTTATAGGTTTTTCGTTATAATGGCCGTAAATACTGGCCAAATTGATTTAAACTCTGATGCCGTTTTGTTCGATCGAGAAAAAGAGATTGTAGGAGTTAAATCAACAGTCTCCAAAGTTGTTACTGTTGGTGTCTCTCATTCTGAAACCCTAAGTGCTGACCCTATTATTGGTGGTGAGGTTGTGATCCATGATCAGAAGGCATGTCATGTTGGTGATGATAGAGGAGTGGAGATGCATGCTATCATGAACCATGGGTGTGGTGTGATGATTAATGACGGTGGAAAAGAGGGTTTTGGTGAAAAACATGAGTTGGTGGGTGTAGAAGGTGTTAATGGGGTGTGTGATGAGAAAGCAGGGGGGTTTTCAGGCGGGCTGGTGAAGAATGAGGATGAGAAAAGTAGGATTAAATGTTCACATGGAGTTTTGTTTGCTGGTAAAGGTGCAGAATCTGATGGGGGTTTGGCTTTTGGGTTTAATGAGGGTTTTGGGAGTGAGCTTGAGTGTGAGAATGTAAGGGATGTTACTGAGAATGGTTTGCTGAGCATTGAGGTTGTGGCGAATAATGTGGCTCAAGGAGGTGATGATGAGACTGAGTGTGGGCATGAGGTTAAGAATGATGCTTTGGTGAATTTAAGTGCTGTTGTGGAGGTTGATGGTGAGAGATGTGTCAATGCCAAAGAATCTTTGCATCTGGAAGATTTTTCAAGGAATTGCGTTGGGTTAGAGCCTTCACAGCCAGCCTTTCAGGTTGACGCACAGATAGATGTGATGCAGAATCATGCCATGGTTGTTGACATTGATGAGGGACGGATGTTTGAGAATATTCAAAGTGAAGATCATGGTTTTAATCTTGTTGTAGATCTTAATTCTTATAGAAACATTCGGGAGGTTAGCGTGTGCCGGAAACCAACGAATTCAGAATTGAATTTCAGTGTATCTGATTTGGTATGGGGAAAGGTGACAGGCCATCCTTGGTGGCCAGGTCAGATCTGTGACGCTTCGGCTGCATCAGAGAAAGCAAAAAGGCATCTCAAGGAACACTGTTACCTGATAGCATATTTTGGGGATCACTCATTTGCTTGGAATGATGTGTCAATGATTAAACCATTTCAGATGCATTTTTCACAAATGGAGAAGCAAAGCAATTTGGAAGATTTTCATTTTGCTGTTGATTGTGCTTTAGATGAGGTCTCAAGACGTGTTCAGTTTAGCCTTTCATGCCCTTGCATACCACGAGATGTGTTTTCCAAGCTTGAAACACAAGTAATTAGTAATGCTGGAGTAAATAAACAATTGAGCAGAAGAAATGTTGGAGGGGACAGATTTATGAATTCTATGTCTTTTAAACCCTTGAAACTTGTCAATTTTGTTAAATCATTAGCCGAGTCGCCACTTGATGAATCTGATAGACTGGATTTTGTAACCTCACGTGCTCAATTGTTAGCCTTCTATCATTACAAGGGTTATTCTCAACTGCCTGAGTTCACATTGCTTGGTGGATTATATGATAATGATATGGAAACTCTACTCATGAGAGGACAAGAACAATGTGATTATCAAACCCATGTTGACTATTCAAAACAGGAGCACAACCACATCTCTGGAGGTAGCAAGCGCCGCGGTAGGAGACATAAACTTTTGTCAAATTTGATGTATGAGAAGAGCTTGTGTGTGTCAAATGGTGAACACACATCAGAGCAGATATCCAAGTCAGCTCCACGGCGTCGTGGTAGGAAACGGAAGGCACCATACCATACTTCGGAAGATTATTTCCATAATTCTCAAAAAAGAAGGTTCACCCTATTACAGAATGCTTCTATAGATGAAATGAGAACTCAACTTTGCTTGGCTGCCAAGGATCCAATTGAAGAAAGTTGCACTAGTGACATGGTACATTTCTTTGCAGAATTTAGAAATTCCATTAGCCTCGATTCTTCTGTTTCCCTGGATCAGGTAATGTGTTTGGAACAGATCCAAGATGCTGAAACTGGAGTAACCTCTATAGCAGCATTGGATTCTATAACAACTGTCATGGAGCCTTGCAATGATTCTTATTGGACTGATAGAATAATTCAAAGCATTCCTGAAGAGCAATCATTGGCAAAATATCATAATGACAGATCAATCATTTTTCCTGAGACTCTAACTCAGGCTAATCCTCACTCGTTTAGCACAGATTTGGGTTTTAAACAGCGAGATATTAATGTAAATTTTGGATCAGAATCTTCTAAACTTATGGAACATTTGGATGAGAGTTCTAAGGAGGACTTCTGCCCCACAGCTCTGACTCTAAAATTTACAAATTTGAATTCTGTTCCTTCAACAACAGATCTCAACAAGATTTTTGGCCGCTTTGGACCCCTGATTGAATCAAAGACTGAACTGTTGGAGAAGAGTAACCGTGCCAGGGTGGTTTTTCAAAGACGTCCTGATGCAGAAACTGCTTTTAGTAGTGCTGGAAAATATAGCGTATTTGGACCTTCACTTGTTAGTTACCGTCTCAAGATCTTGCCTCGTAAACTTCCAAAAGGAACAGGAAAGCGGGGCAGAAAAAGAAAAAATGAAAGGAGTTCTGTAGATGCAGCCCTTTGATGCCTTGGTGTTGACCTTGCGGACCTTAGATAGGATCTTAAATTAAGGTTGGTGTTTTTATGTGAATGTCATGTGAATGTCAATATTCCTAGTATATTTTGATGAGAACTAAGCTGACTAGCATTCTAATACATAGAATTCAGTAGCTGACCGGTTGATATTTAGAAATATTTGGGAATAGGATCAATTACATTTAATTTGTATGGTGACATACTTCAGAATTAATAGAAAGAAAGTTCAAGTTTCAAGGCGAAAATGATTGTGGAAAATCTATTTTTTCAATTAGTGAAGAAATTGACACAACTTATGCGTATGAACTTGTAGGAGATTTATTCTCAAGTTTGTATCATAGTTTACTGTGTTGTTGATGATTTTGGTTTGGATGAGGGCATGTCTGGAACCTGAGACAAAACGGTGGTATTTAAAACAAGCAAACCATTGCACCAGGTTATAAACATACATTTGTATCATAATTTTAATATCCAGTTATCCACAATATTCATATATACATGATTTTGTGTTTACAATTTTGATTTAAATACGTGAAGACAAAAAAATGAGGGAAATTATTCTATGTTTAGTGATTACAAGTTGTTTATGTTAAAATGTGTAATGAAATAATAGTTTTATATTCATAATAAGATTAGGAATCTCTTGTTTGACTATTAAAAGAGAGTCTAATTTATTATAGGCTGATTCACATTTTAAAAAAAACTTAAATAACAACTATTCATTATTATATTCAAATAACATAATATTTATTTTCACAAATAATAAAAATTATTTAATATTCAAAATGTTATTCCACAATAATCCAACATTCTCTCGATAATATTAGCTAAATTATTAGAGACGAAAGCTTACTATGACCAAATATATATCATTTAAAGCACATACAAATAATCTAAAAGAATACAAGTTTTAACATTATAAAAGTTTGATAAAATATATTGATAGAATCATGAAAATAGAAAATACATGATGTATTATTTAACAGTGAATTACATCAAGATCAATAAATGATAAATTAAAATAAGAAAATTTAGAGAAATTTGGATTAAAGCACTAAGGAGCATTATCTTTAAAGGAAAAATACTCCTATTACATTGGTAATTTAAATTTTATAGTGTGTTCTTCTTTTAAGATATGTGAACTTATTAGATTGTTCGTATATAACAAAAAAAAATTAAATTAAAAAATATTACTTCAAAAATATTTAATAATAAAAATGATTTTTAAGGGATATTATATATATATAGCAAATAAACATTCAAAAACAATAACAAATTGGAAATCCATTTATCCGAAGAGTTGCTGAGAGTTAGCAATACTGACGTATAGAAAACTGAAAAAATAAGCTTTTTCAAATCAAATAAAATTGAATAAGGAAACAACTTAATTTAAATTTTAAATTATAAAATAATTCTCTAACATACATACCATATAGCTATATTTCATGCATAAGATGGATAAAAAATATTAAACATATAGTATTCACCGAGATAGGTATCATATCGTTGTATTTGCTTTTAGGTAGGTTTCAAATTTTTAATAAAGTTCGATTTGATTCTTCATATAAATCTTTCATTTCGGAAATCATGTCTGACAATTAATGGAACTGGTAGTGGCATGATATGATGAGCAACATGTGCAAATAGAATTAGAAATGGTGAAATGTTAAAATTAAGATTTGAATTCTTGATCTCTAAGTCAATAAGTATTTTCTTCTAATTTTACTCATAATTATTTTTTAAATTACTCTATAGATGACTCAAACCCTTTGATTAACTAATTACTAATATATAATTAAATTAAATATATTTTTAGTCATTAAATTTAGGATAAATTTATTTTTGATCTCTCAAATTTAAATTGTTATTTTAGCTCCTCAGATCACTAATAATATATCCAAAAATGAAAAATTGAGATAATTATACGTTATTAGTTAAGTTTAATATGATATTTTAATTAACAAAGATACTAATAAATAGATTTTATATGACAATATATGACAGATTCTCTAAAAAAAATTTGAATATAAATACTAAAGTAAGAATTTTTAAAATTACAGAAGCTAAAAAGACTAATTTTAAATTTAAAAAACTAAAATTAAATTTTCTTTAAATTTAAGAGACTAAAAATTTATTTAAACTTATATAATTTTTACAATTTATTTTTAAATAAGAGAAACAATGATGAAAATGATAACATATACTTTAAATGAGAATTAAAATTTTACATGTTTCTATTATTAAATACCTATTTAAGTTTCATATATTATTTTTTATTATTTATAAAAAATATATTTCTTACTAAATTAGAAAATTTTATACATCATTACTTAACTCAATAACTTATAAAAATAAAATTATTTCACTCAATATATCAAATTAAAAATATATATATTGTGGAATAAATCTACAAAATTTTGAAAATGTACAAAATAATTTTATATTATTATGTAAATTTAAATTAATGTATATTTATATATAAAAAATTGTTAATTTAAATTTATGTAACAAATTATCTATTAATTTGTACATCTTTTAAGATATCGTGAACTTTATCCATTTAATAAAAACTTTTAACTATTTAAATTATTGAAATTCATTGTATGGATTAAATGAATTAAATTAAGTCTTTTTGGTTAAAAAAACTATTTTTCACCTTTTCATGTATATCTTTCAAAATAAAAAATAATTGTAGACTTTAATTTATCAGCGAAATACGTTATATACCAAGCATAGTTTTAAAAACCAGACCGGTCATCGAACCGGTTAAGGTACTGGGTCAGTGAGTCAAAGGTTGAACCGGTGGGTCACTAGTTGAACCGCATAACTCGATTTTTATTAAAAAATATTTATATTAAATATATTTTATACTTATAAATTTTAATAAATTCATATCTTATTTTAAATTTCAATTTTTCTATCTTATTTAAAATTATTTTTATTTTTATTTTGTAAAAAAATACATAAAAAAATTACATGTTAAACGGTATATTAATACAAATTAAAAATATAAATAATATGTACATATATAATATGCTTGCAATTAATATCACAAAATAATATATGTAATATTTACATAGATATTGCATTATTAAATATATAATTTAAAATTAATAATATACTATAAAAGTTATTTAAGTTGTATATATTGTAAACAAATATATTAGAATAAGTAATCATTGTTATATTTAATAAGACTCCTTGCTTTTTCATTAAGAGATTCAATTTTCATTATTATTTTTGTGATTTATGGTCCCTTAAAAAAATTTAAAAATAAATAAATAAAAAAAATGGTTGAACCGGTTTGACCCACCGGTTTACCAGTTGAACCAAAAAATTGACCGGTTCAATCCGGTTTGAAACGGGTCGACCGCATAACCGATCCAACTTCATATTCGAACCGGCTGGATCACCGGTTTCCGGTCCAACCGGCCGGGTCGGTCCGAGTTTTAAAACACTGATACCAAGTATAATTACTTTGAAAAATTACAATTGAAATAACTACATTCTATTTTAATGTGATTCCTTATAAATATAAAATTGTGAAAGAATAATTAAAAATTGCCTTTAAAAATCGAACAGAATTCTAAAGATTAAATAAAATAACAAATAAAATTGTAACATTTGAATTTATTAAAGATATACGTGTATATTAGCATAAACTGCCAAATTTTAACAAAAAAATAGTGTAACTTGGAAGAGTTTATCTCGGAAAAATATTGTAATTAACTTGATCTTTATTTCACAGCACTGTTCATCTGCGGCGGACAGTGACACCACCCCGAAAGAGCCCACTTCAACCCCCCATGACTGGGGTGATACGAGTCATAACAACACTAAAAATTGCATTTACTTTATTATTATTGTTACTAAATTTTCAATTGTTTCTATATGATGTAAAGTACTATAGTCTATATTAACAATACATAAATACTATTTCATTCCATTCGTCGGCACTCACAGTTTATAACCCTCCCCCACCAAACCACAATTGATACTAAAGGGTTTTTCTAAGATAAAATTACAGCCTTACATTACATATCACTCCTGCAGAAATCGATAGATAGAGAAGGAACACATTGAAGATTGGATCAGATATAAAGATGGCATTAGCTAGCTCCTACCGCCCTTGACTTATACCATTAAAATAACAATTGCTAAGAAAAAAGTTATTAAGCCTAGCTATTAGAATGTTCAATGGCTAGATTATCCGTGAAAATTGACAGGAATTGATGCTATCAGCAAAAGCAACAGCACGGCAACCAGAGAACGGAGAAGGCAAGCTAGAATATGTTACTAAAAATGTTAAATAATGTAGTTCAGTAAAATAACTAGAAAAGATACAAAATTGTCCACAAAACCCATTCACCTCAACACAAAATTCATAATACTCGACAGAAACTACTGGAAACAAACAGAAAAGGCATTCCACAAATTTAGGACCTTGGCTTCTCCTTCTTCTCCTTGAAAAGAGCAAGAAGTGAGACACCAGAGACCTTCACAACCTTAAATCTGACACCAGGAATATCACCCACAGCATGACCTTTACGTCCAAATCCAGCTATCAACACTTCGTCCTACACAACCATGAGCCACATCCCATGTTACACAGTGGGTATAAATAACAAACTATTAAAGGCAAACAAGATGATTCCACGAGTTATGGACTAATGCAGTTCAAGCAATACTCACGTTCTCTTCAATGTAGTTCAAGCAACCATCATTTGGGACAAAAGCAGCAATCTTCTTCCCATTCTTGATAAGTTGAACCCTAGCACACTTACGGATAGCAGAGTTGGGCTGCTTAGCCTCAATACCTCTGCAAATAGAAAAACAAAAATTTCTCAACATCACATGATCTACCCTAACCAAATAAGCATTCCAGTAAAAGATAAGACCAAGTTAACCTAATCTTACATCTTTTCAAGGACAATTCCCTTTGCGTGGGAAGAACCGGCAAAAGGTTTCTTCCACTCATTCCCAAGATGGGATTTCTTGTATGCTTTGTCAGCCCACCTTTGCCTCCTGCGGTGGGACTTGAGCTTGCGAGCAGCTCCCATTCCACGTGTCTTCCTATAAATCAGCAACAAAATTTAATTTCACACATTCTTATGTTAATCAACCAATTCCTAGTTCTCTCAGCAGCAAAGACTGTCATGTCTAGAAGGACGGATAACTAAAAAAAACTTGTTAAATGTTCATTGCACTTTATAAAAAAATTGTGAGTATTAAATTAGGGTTTCAACCCCCTTCCACCCCAAAACCAAAAAAAAAATAGTAACTTAATTTCATTGATCCTAAAACTAAGAACAATAATAAATAACAGACACCTAAAGCCTTGATCACTGTATTTTAGTGAGAGCGTTAAAACAACTTAAATAACAAGTGAATAAAATGAACGCTGTCCAAAGGAAGCTTAAGATCATCGACCAAACAAGGGCCGAAGAGGAAGGAAACCACATTCAACAAAAGGGGGGGAGGAGAAATCAATTTAAAACCTAGACCGGTAAATATACAAAATCCCACTGAAGAAAAATATAAACTTTTCACACAGAAAGAAAGTCAAGGAAAGATTTGGTTTCAAACGGATCCAGCAGAAGCATATACAAATTCACGAGCTTCGACCATGTTTAATTTTATGAACAAGCAAATAAAACAGAAAAGGAGCATAAACATGCGATGAAGCACATTAAGAGAGAAATGGAGGATTATTGGTTACCCCATGGCTTCGTTCTTCGGTGCAGAGCTCGGAGGTAGCGGAGGATGAGCAGCAGCAACAGCACAAAACCCTAATCGTGATATGAAAAATTGGGGGTTTATATAGTGGACAAAATCAAAAACACTATTGGGTCTGTTAAGATCCACTGGGCCTGCGTAACAATGATTTTAAGCCCAGTGGGTTTAAGACAAAGAGAAGTCTAGTATGTATTACACAACACATCCATAAACCATAAATAACCATCGCGTATTTACAAAACTATAATTCTTAAATCTTAATTATTTAGTTATTAATAATTTAAAACAAATATAAAAGGATGAAAACATAAATAAATTTTATTGCTCGTTTATATAATTAAAAATAAACACGAGAAAGATAAATTTTCAAGTAAGTCTTGTTAATTATCTCGCTCTAATTGTCATGAAACACTTCTCACATCTTATTATTCTATAACTATCACCAGAATATAATAATTTACTTCAAAACTCTATTTAAAATATTATTGTTTATCTCAATTTTATAAAAAAATTTAAAAGATATTTCAAATTAATTTAGGTTTGCAATATTTGAAAAAGTAATTGTATACCAGTGTCACAAGGATCTTTAATTTTTGGCTAAAATACACTTTTAGTTTCTTTATTTTTTTTGTTATTAATTCACAATTTTGACATTCTATTTTAAAATAGAGATTTTAGTTCCTTATTTTATAAAATATAAAATTGTGATCCTTCTGTCAATTTGATGTTCATTGATCATTAAATTATTTTGACATTAGTTAGTGATCAATTATTACTTTAAATAATATGATATTTAATGACATAATATATATAAATAAAAATTAAAAATAATATATAAAATATATTTATTTGTATCTATTTTTATGATTGATTAATATTTATTTTATTAATAAAAAATTATTTGTATTTTTTTTCTAATTTTTTTATTTTCAATATTATATTACTAAATATCATATGAGTATAATTAAACTTTCAAATATAACAATTAATAAATCTTAATTTTATAAAAAAAATCAATTTTTAATATTTTTTTAATTATAGAAATTAAATTTCTTTAAATTTAAAATAAATAGATCAAAATTATTAATTGATAAAAATAAGAGATCAAAATACAATTTAACGTTAAATTTTCACTGGAGTGTTTGCGAACCTTTAGGGGTGTATTGGTTTAAGATTTTATAAGATTTTAAAAGACTTTTTTTAAGTAAAAAAGTTCGTTGGTATTTAATCAGGATTTTATGTCACTTAAAAATAATTTAGTGGTATTCAATTTAGATTTTCAAAAAATTTTAAAGAGTCCATTAAAATCTATTGGTATTCATTTGAGACTTTTTACAACTTAAAAACAATTCATTGGTATTCAAAAGTATAAGGATTTTAAAGGATTGTTGTATTAGAATGATTTTGAAAGACTTTTCAGTGGTATCTATAAATACCAAATTCGTAAAATAATCACATCCAAACCCATCAGATTTTGAATGATTGTTTGAATTGACTTTTCTAGTGCTTCAAGAATTTTTAAGTGAATTTTTCATCTTTTTTTTTTCTCTATGCTCATGTCTTCTTCATTTTTTTCTCTACTATTAATACTGATTTACTGTTCATATATAATAATGTATTATTATTCCAATTCTATTCCCCTATTTGGTGAAACTTTAGTAGGTAAATAATAGTGTCATTGACTTGCTCTATTTTCCTGTCTATTCTCTTTAATTGATTTGTTCTATTTTAGTTAAATTTGTTTCTCGGATATATAATATAGAAAAGCTTAAAATTTTAACTTTTAAGTAGTAATTTTTTTGTAACACGCATCAAGAAAAGGGATGAGAATGGATCTTCAAGACTTTATAATCATTTTAGATTTATTAAAACAATATATATATATATAAGATGAATTTGACTTAAGGTTTCTGTGAGTAGAATGAGATGAGAAAGGATCTTAGTTGGGAGAAGAACCCTCAGCACAAAAAATTATTCCTTAACTCCCACAAAGTTTGATCCTGTAGAATCTGACCCATTTTATCATTGAGTGAAAAGTACGAAATAAATCAGATTGATTTTTGTTGAGATTTCCGTTGACATTAACTTTTGTTCTTATCATAAATCATTTTAACTCTGACAACGGACTCAAACATGGCAAATATACCAACCGTTCAAGTAGTAAATTTAAATCGTATCTATAGGGACTAGTAGGTAAAATAAGCATTTAATGACTATTTGTCACTAAAGAATAGTTTCAATTTTTAATAGATTGTCATGCATTTGAAATTTAGATTATGACTATTGGAATTTCAAAACTACAATATAAATTGTGTGTGTGTGGAAAGGATAGAAATAGTATTGTGATTTTGTAAGATTGTGGGGTCAGATATCACCAAACGTCACACTAATGAATCTTTATTCTTTTGTTACATTCATTGCCTAGTCAACCCATAAGTTTACTCAAACCTAATCCCTTAGAGCAAGAGCCTAGGTGCAAGTAATGAATATCAATTCCTTGAGTATCCAATACATACACCTGCATTACGGGTTAGGGTTTAAGACTACTAATGGACCAAGCTCCATTCCTAGATACATTTCCCACTAGATATTTGTTTCAGAGCTAGTTCAAAATGCTATTTTCCAATACCCAATGGACTCTATATCAAGAAAAGGAGAATCAATCCAAAGCAAGCATTAAGAATAGAAACATATACAACAAGGAATGAAACAACATATATATATATATATCATTAATAACATGAAGATTACATAAGAGTTTTGTTGGTTACATCTAACCCTACAAAATAATGAGTAGAACCGCTCAAAACAATGAGGGTAAAACAAAAATAGAGATGAAAGAGAGATGGAAGAACCGAAGGAAAGACCCACATACGAACGATCCCAAGCACCGGGAATCCCTTCCTCAACTCCTAGAAGTCGCCCAATGTGTGAATGAGGGAAAAATCCTGGAAGTCTTGATCAAATACGAGCTGGGTGAGTCAGGTTAGGGTTACCACGCCCGGCGCATTATGCTTTGCGCCCGGCACAGGGCCTTCTAGAGAGTTTAGTTACTCTCTGTCTCAAGACACGCCCGACGCAATTACTTTTAAGCCGAGTGCGATGTCTTCCAGAGAGTTTAAGTTGCTCTCTGTCTCGAGCACGCCTGGCGCAATTCTGAATTACAGAGAGTGTGGCTCTCTATTTTGCTCAAGCCCGGCGCGGGTAGTCTTGCGCCCGACGCATGTACTCTTCTCCTGCTCCTTAGCTCCTTTAATTTCCAATCCAATGTTTGTTCAACTTTCAGCTCTTCACTCAATACCTGCACAAAAAATGAGGTGTATCAGGGTATTATTAGATGAGATTGGGTTAGCTATATCTGCATAAAAATTGAATAAAAAAGAGAACAATTATCTTGCAAGAGTGCATGGGATGAGTGGAATTGTTCAATAAGTCCTATCTAAAAAGAAGTATAATTGAGACTTAACAATAGGCATGTCCTTCTGAGGTCCAGCAACATGAATGGGCGCAGCAACAGCAGGTGGTGGGCGATCCTGGCAATAGGTGGAGATGTAACGATTATCAATCGTTCGGCTAGGACCCTCAAATGGTGGTGTATGGACATCCACACCAGCAAGCTGGCATAACTGAGTGGTGAGGGAGGGATGTCCGAGGGTTGCGGAGGGTGGTGCATTGGCGCAACCCGAAATCTCCACACAGATGATGGAGCCAAGGTCCACTGTCTTCCTTGTCATGATGCAATACATCAATTTTTCGATCCTTTATTTTATTTAATTCAAAAACTTTAGGAGATTACCCATTTGAAGGGGGTAGACTACTCAAGAATCCCTCCCTTGAGTTTGTTATTGTTATCACTTCTCCTTTTATGACTAAACAATTATTTTATTTATTTATTTTACAATAATTTTTTTAAAATTTTATGTTGTGAAATTAAGATTTTATATTTTAAAAAAGAAAATGAACATTAAACATTGTAGTATCTTAGAATTTAATACTAAAACTATTTTTTCACGAGTGAATAATTGAAAGCAATTAAAAAATTTAAAAAATTATTTTGTACCTATAACAAATTTCTGATAGTTTTTTTCCTAGTTGATGTTTGTAAATTTCTAAGATATTTTAAATGAATAAAAGTGCAAGAAAGACACACTTTCACTCAAATACCGATATAAAATGCAGAGACATATTTAGTTATAAAGAGTAGGGTAATTGTCCCACTGTTTTTAATTATTTATAAATTTATAAATAAAATATTTTAAATCACAAATTATAAACAATTTGAAATGTTGTTTAGAATAATTTTTAGCATATACAACACTGCATAAATTTCTTCGTAAAGAATGTTGTTTTGATGAATTTTCAATTGGAGCGGTGGATGAACCTTCTTCTTTAACATTACCTGTTAACGAAGATCATAATTTTGAGCTTAATATTCAAACCCAAGAGTAAGAGAAAAAAGACATTAATGCTTATAAGACTAGTATAACTATGAATATATGGGTGAATGTTATTTAGGAGTACATAATATTCCAGAGAATTATTATTATTATTTATCTAGACATTGTTATTTTTTTTATTATTTTTGTCTTTGACTCTTTTTAAATTTGAATGTGTGAAAAAAAATCTTAAACTCTTAGCATGTGTCAAAAATCCATGAAATTTTACAAAGTTTACAAAATCTCGTAGAATCCATTAAAATCCTGGTTTAGGGAAGTGTATTGGTTTAGAATTTTATAGGATTTTAAAAGACTTTTTTTGAGTAAAAAAGTCCATTGGTATTCAATCAAGATTTTATGTCACTTAAAAACAATCCAGTGGTATTCAATCTGGATTTTCAAGATTTTTTAAAGACTCCATTAAAATTCACTGGTATTCATTTGAGATTTTTTACAACTTAAAAACAATCCATTGGTATTCAAAAATATAACGATTTTAAAGGATTGTTGTATGAGAGGGATTTTAAAGGACTTTCTAGTGTTACTATAAATAGCAGATTCATAAAACAATCTCATCCAAACCAATCGGATTTTGAAGGATTGTTTGAAGTGATTTTTCAAGTGTTTCTACTAATAATACTACACTATTGTTCATTGCTCATATATAATATTGTAGTACTGTTCTCATC